TATACGAACCTCCCTAAAATAGCTGTTATTTTCTGAAGCATGAGCTATTTTCCGGGAACTCTTTCCCATCAGATTCCCACCTTACCTGTCACCTCTTTGAGATGTTTTCCTAGGCTTCTCACAGCTCCCGCTGTGGCTTATTTCTCTCGCGACTCCTTGATTATTCATAATCTGTCCAGTCACCTGCTACCTACCTGCCTCTCTGTCTTAAATCCTGCACCGCATGAGCCTCTCTGAGCCCTAGCCCGTTGTTGTGTCCCCAAGACCTCTGTGGCTGTGAGGCACACAGTAGGACAATAAACATCTGCTAAACGAAAGCATCGACGGCCACAACTCCGGAGAAAACATCATTCGAACTGCATTTTCCGGCTTGGGAAACCAAAGTGCAGACATGGAACAGCCTGGAGTCCCATAGTCAGTGGGCAACGCAGCAAGGAGTCACCAGAGCCTCCCCTGCTCTGCCCTTGCACACGGGGGCGCTCTGGCCTTCCTCTCGAAGAGGGAAGACGTGCGATGAAGCCTTTGGCTTGTTTTCACTCTTTCTCCAGCAAGAGTGCAGAGGTTTGGACCCCTGCGGGGGCCAGACTGACAGGATTAGAGGAAACAGCTGGCCCAAGCCAGTGCCCTGCGGGAGGGAGCTCACATTCCCGGGCTCTGGGAGGGAGCAGCTCCCCATAGCCCCAGTCACATTCCAGGTAGGTCATTTTCCTGAACCCAGATGTTTGCTAATGAGCAGAGGAGAGGGGCTTCCAGCCCTCACCCAGCTCTGGGCCCCACGTTACCTCGGCCCCAAGAGGCTGGCCAAGGGCCAGCAAGCTCTGGCTGCAGGCCCGTGCCCTGTGCCAGCCAGGCCTGTCAGGGCAGCTGGAACGGCACTGCCAACCAGGTGCATCTCCTGGAGCTTGGAGACTCTAAGTTGACGGGTTCTGCCTTCCCCACTGGGGCTCCATTACCCTGGGTCCTGCTGATGCAGCATCCCCGCTGTGGCCTGGTGGGAGGGGCTGAGGCAGACAGAGGGTGCGGTAGGGACGGACCATGGACTGTGGGTTCAAATCCAGCCTCCGCCAATTACTAGTCTCGGTTAGGCAACTGCATTTCTGGGGGCTTTGATCTTTCGCGCTCAGACAATGGGAACAGTGGTGGGACTGTGGTAAGGATTAGATGAGATAAAGCAGCATAGTGTTTAGCCCAGTGCCTGGCATCAGGTGGTAGCTGTTGAGAGATAGTATCGAGTCCCCTTCCGGGGACATCGGAGTCCTCCAGTAGTCTCCAGTCTTTGCCAGACAGATGTGGCTCAACTCCAAACTCCATAATCTTGAATTTGTGGTTGGGATTGCTCCAGAAAGCCTCCCTGTGTTTGAGAGTGCGCTGCACTATCAAGGCACCCTTCTCGTGACTCTGTGTGGGGTGCCACGCTCACGGGAGTGGGCTCTTACAATGTGCAGACATCCACTTCTGCCCAGCCCAGGGTCCGCAGAGCACGGTGCTGGCCAGCTTTGGCCAAGCGACGGTTCCCTGGGTGCCTCCCGTGCGTGGCGGAGCCCCTGTCATCCTAAAGACGGTAACTGGTGTGGCCTCTTCCTTCCTGAGTTTAGATGCGCTCCTTAACCTCTCCACAGGCCTTGCTTTGTTCACATATTTAAGCGGGAATGACAACATTACTCATTTCATAGGTTTATTGTGAGTGCAAAGACAGGGACTGGGTTTATCAAAGTGTCCAGCGCCTGTCATTACAGTGACCGGGGTGGAAGGACTAACTGCTGGGGAGCGATAATTGCTTTGTCCAAGTGTACGAAGTGCACATCTCTTCTGGTCCCACTGTAGGAACCTGGGACATTGAAATAAACACGGGAGCCGCGTCCTCCAAGAGCTCACAGTCTAACCGAGAGAGGGGTGCGCACGACCATTCCCAAAGGAGATTTAGCTCCAGGGTAACACCTGGAGGAGGGGTTATTGTACTGAGGGTCTTGGGAAGGCTTTCCAACGTGGTGCTGGAAGGATGCCTTCGCCAGGGTGTGAAGGGAGCTGGGAAAGGGGGTCACAGGGCAGCTGGGAGCTTTGATGTGCAGATCGGCTGGGCCCACCACGGAGGGAACTCTAGGCCTCTACTCCAGGGGAACTGCTAGCCAGTTGGGTTAACTAGACAGACGTAGGGGTTGGGATTTAACTCAGCACCACACCTGCCTCACAAGTACAAGGTCCTGAGTTCGATCCCCAGTACGGGGTGGGGGTGGGGGCGGGTACACAGACATAGATAACTCAAGACAAAGCAAAAATATCACAGATAAAGGAAAATCTCCAACCCAGCAATCTATCTTCTCCCTTAAAATACAGCACCATATTGGATGTGGTGGTTCACACCTGTAATTCCAGCACTCAAGAGGCTGAGGCAGGACTGCTGCGAGTTCAAGCCCAGCCTGGACTACATAGTGAGGCCTTGTCCCACCCCACTTAAAAAAGGAAAAAAAAAAATAGAGCAGACCCCAATCCACTCAAGTGCTCGCTGGATAGGCTGCACGCTGAGCCGGTCACTTTGCTCTTCTCAGCAGCCAGAGAAACCAGTCAGTTTTCTAGAGTTCTAGCTCAGAGCAATTCTGGGACTCTCAGACCCTTCTCAGATTGCTTAAACCTAGGGGCTGGAGTCAATCAGAAGTCTAGGGACACTAGGTACAAACAGCAGCGGCCCAAACTGGGCCTGCAGGCAGGGCAGGAGTCGGGTAGCAAGCGCGCCCAGGACCGCGGGGTGGGGACGGGACCCCGGCGCCAGCTCGTGTTGGCCTGGAGCGCTGCGCTCTCAGAGCGAGATAGCAACGCTCAGTTCCCACAAAGCGGACACCTCCATCTTTGTCACCCTAAGGCCTGGCATGGCCTGAGAGCTCTGTCTCGGAAAAAGCTCGGCAGGCAGAGAGCAGTCGAAGTGCACCGAACCCCTGGAAGGGCACCGGAGGACGGGCGGGGCGCGCTG